TCTCTGTGGCATCCAGTGAGGATGATCAGGATTGTCTCAGGAGTGATGCTGGCTCACAGCTTTCTCACATGCTGACTGAAGAGTTTTTTGCCATGACTCAACAGCTTTCGAGGCACATCTTCAGTAGGATAATGCTTAGGCATTTTGCGCAGTTTAACCACCCAAGTAACACCATTCCTGTCTCCACCAACTGGTTTTGTGACAGTCGCAAGAACCTTCCCCTTCTTTTTCTTTTGGATCCTGAATTTAGTGGCTGAGTATTTCTTCTTGTACACGGCCTTCCTGGAATACATGGCAGACTGGGAATATATGCTGATGCCTCAGACTAGGACAGGGTTTCGGCTGCAATGGGGCTTCCCCTTCTTGGGCTTTTTAGCCTTGGGGTCAGCCTTCTTAACCTTGCCACTGGCATCAGCTTTCTTGGCTTCTGGTTTCTTCTTCTTAGTATCCTGCTTTGCAGCTTTTTCACCTGCCATCTTGTACAGTGGGAAAGAGCTATCACTGCCTTCTTTATCCCTCCATTGTATGTGAGATGTAAGACAGCTATGGTATTTATTGCATTTTATTACAATTATTTTCTAGCATTTAATTTAACCATGAACTCCTTGAAGGCATTTTGTTTATCTCAGTGTCTTCAGCACCGAGTAAAGCCTTCACAAATATTTATTGTATAAATGAATGGATGAGTGGATAGATGAATTGTACAACATCTTGCATTTCAACAATACTTTCTTTACATTATCTCATGTAATCTTCACGTAATTTGATGGCTTCATATTATTATTAATGGTTACCCCAAAAAAGTGACTACCAAAAATCCTCTTGGAAAAGAAATGGCCTTTTGTGGGAAAATGCTTAGAGGTCATTGAGGTAGGTGAGAATCATGAGGGCAAGAATGTTGAGCCAGACAACATAGAAAGGGTAACATTGGGCAAGAGGAAATGGGATGAGTTTTCTGAGACCAATGAAGAGAAGAGAAAATAGAGATTAGGGTGAGAGGACCCACAGGTCAAGAAGGACTTGGACTAAGTGAGGTGAAGAACCAATGAGATACCCCTTGGCAAGGTGGCTGAAGGATAGTTTAAGGATCATATAGCAGATCATATACCATCTACTACTCTTTTGAAATTGATCAAATGTCCACCATGTAAACCCCTCATCTCTCTTTCCCCTGCCCAAATGAAAACCAAACTAAAAACAAAAGCAATAAACCAAGAACACTTGCTTGATTCTACTAATTTTATCCTTGCTACTTACTAAGATTATCTTAGAATTCTCAGGAGGGATCAGATTTCATGTTGGTTTAAAGTAGTGCAGAACAGAGACTCTATAGGAGGAAGTTGAAGCCTAAGTTCAGACATACGGGGGGATTTTTATGGATGTTTAAGTCTCCTTTCTGTTATGTTACTGATAGGGAGGCCCTACTGTCCATCTGTGCTATACTCTGTGAAGAAACTGAGGCCAAAGAGGTTACATGCCTGGCCCAAAGTTACACAAATAGCAAGATACATAACCTTGATTCTCTTGTTTCTTGATCTTATTTCACAAAGAATACTGTCACCATAGGCAAGGTGGAGAGGAAGCTTGTGTTTTAGCCAACATGAGCCAGCACAGACCACTCTCCCTTACCACAATGGACACAGATACAGCTTTTCCAAGTGTTATCATGACACCCTGGAAAATAGCAGGAAAATTCCAGACCCACAGTCTCCTTGATATCATGGTATATGTCTCCAGAGCCCTCTAATGCTAGCTCTAACCTCAGAGGATGAGAAGGAGGGGATTCTGGAAGGCTTGTCCTGTGGCTTTGCAGATTACTTCCCCAGTGGGCCCACAGTGTGGCCAGTGAGTAAACTTGGCAAGCAGAGGTCCCCATTACAAATCTCAGAGGCTGTGACATGTGTGGACTTTATTAAGAACAGGCTCTAGGCAAGGGCAGGCTAGGATAGTGTGTTAGAGGGTTTACCCACCTGTCTGCCTGCCTCTCAATACCCTGAGCTTACACCAGACAAGACACAGGCCATGTTCAAGGAGTGTCCAAGCCACTGCAAGTGCCACATCTGTCTCCTGCCTGACTCAATCATTGCCATGGTTCACAACTAGGCTAGCAAGGATTTAGGATGTGAGAGATGCTAAAACTCTACCCAGATTTCAGCAG